TGAGGGGTTGTTCTTTCCTCTGAGGGGAGAGATATCTTCTTGGTTTCTCATGTTTTTGTGCCTCTGTGGTGGTTTATGGTTATTCTGTGACAAAATCTCTCCTCCACCTGTCTGAATGTTTTGGGAGTCTAGAAGATGGAGTTTAGAGCATAGCTTCCCTGAACAGGCCAGGACACACCTCCGCTTTTAAATGGCTTCTTGTCCCAATATTTCGAGAGTCTAGAAAGAGAACATTTTAATGCAGAAATTAATCAGACGTTCCAAATGGATTTAGATGTCTCTAGTAATTTGAGAACAAATCTTGTAATCATTTACACATAAGGCAGTAGGTCAGGATACTCAATAAACTTATTAAAGAGACAAAATTGAGATACTGTCTTTGTGTGGCCCTGGGAGGTTACAATGATTTCCACTCCAATTTTGGTTAATTTTATTATGCTGAGTAGCTAATGGGTTATTTACACTTTATATATTTAAATATCTATTTGAGAACATAAACTAAAATCTAAGTATTCAGTAAGGTTGTTAGAATAAAAATGCATTGAAGATATGAAAAAAAAGGATGAGAAAGCAAAATCTTAATTACCATTGTATAATAACTTAATAGTAAGTTTGAGCTTCCTGGAAACCAGGATACAAAGAGAAACATTGCATTGCACAGTTTTCCTTGACAATAGTTGCAAACCCAATGTGAAAATATCCTTTCTAAGAAGTGAAAACACATTTATTTTCTTAAGAGTGAAAAAAAAAGCATATCCTGGAACTAAATTCTAAAGAGACTGAAACTTAACTTACATAGGACAACTAACATAGGACAATCCACACAATGATTGGTGTCATTCGTCACAGTTCTACATAAGAACAAGGACGGTTAGAAACTACTGTTTTCAGGCCCTCATGTGCTATCCATCCCTGTACTATCTATCCATGGCACGATATATTGACATCAATTTGTAAAATTTGAACTGAGTGTTCTTATTGCCATTTTTCAGAATTGAAGCTTGTTTCTCAGTAAGGGTATATAGCGCATTCAAATTACTTGGCTAGAAAAGGGACTGAGTCACGGTTTAAACCCAGGCCTGTCTGACTCTAAAATCAATGATCTTTCCACTACATTCTGCACTCTTGATTGTTTAAACGTAGCAATATTAAAAAAGAACTTTAGTACAAACCATTGTTCCAAGAGTTAGGCTTGGGATAAGAATGGACTAAGTTAACAGCTACAAAGGTTTGTTAGGCAGTTGAACTGACTTATGGTGCTCAAGCAATAAGGTGTGTACTTCTATTGAACTGGTCTCCAGTCAGTGTATGGGTAAGTGCTGGCCGCCTCCACTTCTACCCACTTCCAGGGAAACCAAAAGCCTTCATACACCTTAGGTAGGGGGACAAAAATGGGAATCCATGATGGCTGTTTCAAAATAAAACAAAATTTTAAAAGCATTAAGGCAAAGATTTAAAAAGTTTCACATTATATAATATATATGCAAGCAATGTTGTCACTTCTGCTGTGTATATTTAGGTGAAGACTGGGCTGTTGACATTTCTTAAGGAGAAGTGGAACGCCTTCTGGGAAGATTGTGGGTTCAGTTCCCAGGTCAGCCTGTACTAGTGCAGTTGTGTGGGTGCCCATGTCCTGACTGTCTGAGAAGATTGGGGGGTGGGGGTGGGTAGGGTAGTTGGAACTTGAGATCCCAGAAATGTTAGACTTTCTCTATTTCTCACTCTCATAAAATTAAACTTAAGAAAAAAATGATTAGGCTGTTACTGCAGAGAAAGGAAGCGATATACAACTAAGGACATAAAAAGTTAATCAAGCGACCAGGCGGAGGCATTGCAGCAGTGCAACTGGGTCCACGTGGAAAAGTCCTTGGTTCACATCAGACCTCCCTCACATGCTGGACACACAAGCATGCCCGTGATCTGGGCTGACTGGAAGTAGAGGCGATCTCGGGATGCTGCCCTGCTGGGGTGCCTGTCTCTCTCTTATGAAAGAAACAAATAAAACTTTTCTTAGAACAAATTCAAGTCCAACCATCTTTGTTAATGAAAGGGGATAATAGGAAAAAATAACAACTCCAAGTGGAATAACTCATTAACATTTCACGACATCACTTCACCTTTCCCCACCCAAGCAGGTGAAGATCAGAAAAGCAAGGTCAACTACTGTGTCCACTGTAGACCCTGCAGAGGCAAAAAGTAAAGGAAGATCCTCCATGCAGTTTACAACACAATATACCTAAAAATATGACTGGGAATGGCAGAGAGAGAAACGTACAGCTCTGGTCTGTTATTAAATAGAGAACTTTATTTTAAAGATTCCTGGAAATAGAAACATAGAAGGAAAGATCTCATTTCTTTTTTTCCATCTATCTTTCAAAGCATCCCCATAACTCAAAGCAAATACAGTTGTAATAATAGCAATAATAATAGTTGTTATTTCTGGAGTGCCTCGTATACATTGCAGAACACGGAGGCCTTCATTTATTGTTTAATTTAACATGTGCAACTTCAGGGTGTTCTCTTCTATCATTAGGGGCTATGACATTACAAAACCTATTGAAAACATTAAATCCTCAGGAGTGAAAAGTTTTTTTTCTGGGTTTAGTGACTCTAAAATGTCACAATAAATAAATGCTTTTGGAGCCTCTTCCCTGTGTGTGACTAACATGATCCCCTCGCCTCCAAGGGTTTATCTAAAGAAACGGAAGCGTCAGTAGATAAAGCAAGGGAGTAAACGGAGATCCAAAAGAATCGCTTTTTATCTTGTAATTAGAGATTATTCACCAGACAGAGATTTTCCTTGATAACTTTCATACTTGTAGAGAAGTGAAGGGTACATTTACGATCATGAATGCTAGAATAACTGTTCAAATTTGGACGTGGTCAATTTACTAATGGAGCGACTATTTACTCCTTTGTGTCTCATTTGCTCATTTATAAAATGGGGTTAGTATTGGCACTTATCTCATAGTCTTGTTAAACTGATGAATATTTTTGGATACTTGGAAGTGTGCCATTCTAGGTGTACCACGTTAGTATGCATACTCCTTAGACCCTTTGAGGCGAGAGCAACTGTTATGTTTATTTGGCTGAGTATACTGCTGGCCTTGTCCTGGGTAAGGAAATACTGAGTCATTGGGAAAGTCATGACATATTTTTGCATAGAAAAACACAGAAAAATACATCATGACTTTCCTGACGACCTAATATTTGTAATCATAATGCTTTGGGCCAAAGCCATCCTTCATTGTTGAGCACTGACTCTACACCAGGCATTGTTCTAGGCACACTAGGCCTATAACACTGGGGAGAACAAGCAAAAACCCCTATATGGGTAGTAGTTACGTTCTAGTGAGGAGAGACAGACAATGGATGTAATTAAAAAGTGCATTTCATAATACAGTAGAAGGCGACAATTTTGTCAATAAAAATGAAGTTTAATGGCCTAGAGAATATATTTTCCATTTCAAGTAGAGTGGTCAGTGTAGGCCTGAGGAATATGGGGACACTTGAGGACTGTTTTGAAGGAAGTGAGGGAACAAGCCATGAATGTACTTGTGGGGAAAAAAAAATTCCTGACAGGGGTCCAGCAGATGGCATAATGGTTACGTAGCTGGACTCCCATGTAGTTAACCACGGTTCAAGTCCTGAACCCAGTGGCTTAAAACGCATGCCGGGTGCATGTGCGTGTGTGCCCAAAATCCTGAGAGGAGACTGGAGAAGGGATTGTAGTGTGGCCATCCTCCCTGGGGGGCGATTTCTTGATTTCTGTCTTTCTGTCTCTCTGGTGAGAGCATGTACCTGATAGCAGAAACCTAACAAACAAACAAACAAATTCCTGACAGAGAGGATGGCTAGCACAAAGACCCAGAAATGGAAGAATCATTGTCTGGGAACCTAGTCTAGGAATATTGAGCAGGCCATAGTGGCAAGAGCTAAGTGAGTAAAGTGAGAAAAGAAAGAGATGAGGTCAGATAATGACAGATCATGTATTGTTCTTCTAGGCCATTGCACAGAATCAGCGTGATCAAGATAGGAGCATTGTAGGGTTTCCAGCAGAGGAATGATATGAGCGCCTTTCATGTTTAAAAAGGAACATTTGGGGCCTAAGCCACAGCCCAGTGGTTAAGGGAGCCAGCTCCCACATGGCTCAATGGGCTGTTGGAATCCCAGCCCAGAGGCTTGAAAAACATGCAAGGTGTCTGTTTACGTGTGCCCAAAGTTCTGATGAGATAGAGAGATGAAGAAGGGAGTGCAACACAACTACACCCTATTTGGGTGTTTTTTCCTCCCTCTTTCTCTGTCTCTTTCTGGCAAATGCACCCTCTGGCTTAAAAAAAAAAAAGTTAAATAAAAGGCTCACTTGCAGCCAGGTTGTGGTGCAGTAGCAATAAACTTGGACCCATATGGGAGGAGTCCTGGACAAGTGTGCCAGGACTGCCCTAAGCATGCCAGGTACATGTATCTGCCCATGATCCAGGCCAGCTGAAACTTGGTGGGAAGGTGGCTTGTAGCATGAGGACCCTACTGGGGGTACCTGTCTCTCTTTCTCTCTTCCTCCATCTGTCTCTCTCATGGAAGAACTAAATAACAATCTTAAAAAAGGATCTCATTGGCTGTTGGGCTACCGTGAGACCAGCCTGCATGAGGGCAAAGGCAGAAACAGGGCGGAGTAGCCAAAGTCACAACTCCATGAATTTGGCCTGGATGATAGTAACTGTGGAGGTGATAAGTAGTTCAATTCTGGATTTCCTTTGAAAGTAGAGCCACCAGGATTTGAAATGTGAGAGAAATAGAAAAGTCAAGTGTGACTCCAAAGTTTTTTGATCTGATTTGGGGAAGACTTCAGCTGGGAAAAGTGGTTGTAGATTACACGGAGAAATTACAAGATCTCAGGTCTGGAAGAGTAAGTGTGAGGTCCAGCAGGCATCCAGTAGGCAGCTTCCTGGTGTACAGGTGAGAAAGCCAGGCTAGAGGTAAAGTCTGGGTAAAATACATCGATGGCATTTAGTGCCATGACGCAGGATGACATCGCCAAGAGAATGAGTGTAGACAGAGCAGACAAGAGGTTCAAGGTCTGAACTTCAGATCTACTGATGCTCAAAAGCTGGAAGCGATGAAGCAGTCAGCAAAAGGGACAGAAAAGTAACCAGATGCTTGGCATTTCATGGGATATTTTTGAACTCAATCTTTAACTTGCACAAATAAAAAGTGCACTAAAAAAAAGCCTTGTGTTGGGACCAGCAATTGGCGTAAGGCTGTCACTGGACTCCCATGTAGTCAACTGTGGTTTGAGTCCTGGACCCGGTGACTTAAAATCACCCCGGTCTGGTATGTGTGCATGCCCAAGATCCCAAAAAGAGAATGGAGGAGAAGGGATTGTGGTGTGGCCATCCCCCCTTGGGGGGTGATTTCTGGCTTTCTGTCTCTCTGTCTCTCTCTTTCTGTCTCTCTCTGTCTTTCTGGTGAGTGCCTGCAGCCTATAGCAAAAACCTCTCAAAAAACAAAACAAACAAAAACAAAATAAACAAACAAACAAAAAGCCTTGTGTTAAGCAGCTACTGAATTCCATTCATGGTGAGAATACTCAGCGTGCATTATCCTACAAGCTTACCTGCCCTGTAGCATAGCTACTATTACCACTACACTGCTTATGGCTAAAACAACTTGCTCAAAGCCACACTGATCCAAGTTAAATAGATGGCATTTGGTGTGCCCTCTCGCTGCCCTGAGTTCCTCCAGGGCTCATTGGCCTAACCCCACAGACCGGTCCTGAAGATGGCAGAGACGCACTGGGGCAGTCTTAGGTCCCATTGCCTCCCAGGGAAGCTCCGTCGGGCTTCAGGACGTTCACATCAACCTTGTTTTCACTGGTGACAGCAGCTCAAAGAACGATGTTGGACATGTACACAGTAGAGATGTACAGTGACTGGGTGTTAAAAAAATGATGGGAACTATAGAAACTCACAAGGAATTTAACATTAAGAGTCTAAAACCTTCCTGACCCAGTCCTTAGCTGAAGTCATTCTCCAGCGATTTTGCAAAGGTGTTTCTCTGACGCATCAGGTAAACCTGCCCGGGGCTAGCTGCAGGGAGGAGGCGCGGTCACCTGGAGTTTCCCAGTAGAAACCTCCTCTTCGGGTGGGGAAATCGTCCCTGGAGGAGGTATACCCCCCCGCCCTTCTTCCAGCTCATTAGAAAAAAAAAAAAAGAAAGAAAAAATTAAAAAAAAAGAAAGAAAGGCGGACGAAAAGGACAAGGAAGGGGAAAGCCTGCCACAAAGTCTCCTGCGCTGGGCGAACACGGCTCTGAGAGGCTGGCGCCCAGGCATGGGCCGAGCAGCCAGCCCCCTCCAGCTCAGGAAAAGCCGCAGGAGCTAACGGCCCCGGCGGGAGCGGGCCGTCAGTTTCTTTGCTCGAACCCCCTCGGTGCGGGCGGTAGTTACGGAGGGGACGGAGGGGCCAGAAGTGCGGGACCCAGCCTCGCCGAGCTCCCCGCCGCTGCCGAGGGGGACCGCGCAGCACGACCCGGCGACCCGGCGCGCCTCGTCCCTCTGGCCGCGGGGACGCTCGGCGCCCTGGAGCCAGGTGAGGAGGGGGCGACGGAGGGCGGGAGGACGGAGGGGGCGACGGAGGACGGCCCCAGCGCCAGGGCGGCTCCCCAAGGCACTGCCTCCCTGCGTCGGAGTTGGTCGCCACCGGCGGCGCAGCGCAGGGCTGGGGGCGGAGAGCAGGCAGCCGCCGAGG